CCATTGTTTGGATTGTTGTTGAAGAATTATATTTTGGGAGGACAGAGTGCACCAAGAGATGTCTTTTTTGCAAATATCATTCCTGATGTTGTAAAGAATATGATCTATATTGCAATTGAGGTTGCCTCACTAGCATTGAGAATAATGATCTACTGGGTAACAAAGAAGCTCTTCCGTGACACAACCATTGTTCATAATACACCAAGTGCCAAGAAGAAGAGAGAGAAGGAACGTAATCTTTTCAAGCAATTGCTCTTCTATGCCTTACCATTCTTCTTGTTTGGTGTTTGGGTTATTGTGTACAGATTGGCCACTGATATCATTTACGTAGTTCGTGTCGCAGAGCATGGATTGGATTCCTTCTCTGATGATTTGGATTTGCCTGGATTAATTGTTTTGAGTATTCACCACATTTTGAGCCCTCTGAGAGCTTTTGCCAATAGTGTTGTCTATTGCTTGTTATCAAAGTGGTTCAGTGATAGAGTGAAAGGATCTTTCCGTAGGTGTTGTGGTCAAAGAAATTAAAACTATTTATTATTTAAATAACAATTCAATTTGTTTTTACTAGCTATTATTGGGAAGAAGAATATGAGGTGGAATATCAACAAGTGGAAGAAGCAAGTTGCTAATCATCAACTGTTGTTGTGTGAAAAAGAAAAGGGTGTGGAATATATCATCGGAATCAATGAAAACTCTGATCATCAATATAATTGAAACTAGCTACAAAATTTAGAACATGGAAGAGCTATCTTCATCTCTCAAATATTGACCAACATCAGCTTGGTGGAAACATACGATATCTGTTGGTTTAACATATCTACATTCATCCGTCGACTTTGCAGCTACACCAAAACCTAATGGAACATCATTCATATTCATAACAACAACACCTTGATATTGTGGACAATCTTCAGTCATTCTACCCAAACCAGTCTTCAAAATGTGATTACCATAGAGGAATGAAAGTTCTGCTTGAGGTTTAACCCAAACTTTATACTCGGCATATTGAGCAATATAATCCAAACAAGTTACTTCAAGTTTAAACTTTTTAGATTTGGAAAATCTACCAAAGCAAACTCCCACAGTTTTCAGCCTTTCAAATGTAATGTTTTCAGCAAATTGTAATACTTGATTACTCATGTAGAAAACCTTATCTTTATGAAATCGGAAAGAGTATTTATCGTTAATTAATTGCTTGACATTCTTGCCAATATACTTGGTAAGTTTATCAAAGAAAGTTTCCATCTCCTCATCAGTTAGTGGACGCATTTTTTTTATGAGTGTTGTTGGTGAGAGTTTCAACTTTTTGGTGAACAAAAATAATTTTCATCAGCAAATTGTATTTATTGATGAAGATGAGAGAATTTATTGAATAGAAATTTGAAGGAGTGAGAGAAAAAATTGAACGGCAATGATTTGGAGAGAGGATGGTGGTGGGAGTGAGATGGACTCTTTTCCGATTTGAGGGAAGAATTGGGAAGATGATTTTATTCAATTTTTCTTGAATTATTTCATCATTGAAAATAACTTGAAAATATGAGGGCAACTGGTTTCTGTCAAGATAAAGATCAGAATATTAGTGAAATACCAAACATATCAAAGCATTATTGGTTCTGTTTGTTTCAAATCTCTTTAATTTTATTTTAATTTTCAAAATTAAAAAAAAATGCAAAACAACAAGAGGAATATTGTTATTGCAGTCATCATGATGATGATGTTTGCAACAACATTTATTTGTGGATCATCAGAAACTGCCTCTAAAATTAAGGAATATTTAAATCAACACAAATCAGATGTTAAAAACTTGGAAACATTCCAAAGATGGGTCAGATATCCATCACTTCCTGAACAAGAACATGATGTTCAAATTGATATTGCTAAATACTTGAAGGAAGAATTAAAGTTTAACAAGGTTGATATTTGGACTATGGATGAACAAACAGCTGAATTGGAAAATAACAAATTCTTTAATACTCCACGTAGTTTTGATTCCTTGGCTAAATCACCAATTGTTGTTGGTGTTTTGGATGGAAGTGCTCCAGAAGAAGTTGAAACATCAACTGAAGGACAAGTTACTGCATTCAAGAAGCATAAATCCCTGATTATCAATGGACATATTGATGTCGTTCCTGTCGGTAATCCAAAGGCTTGGTATTTGGAAAATCCTTTCAGTGGTCACATTAACAATTCCAATATTTATGGTAGAGGTACTACTGATATGAAGGGTGGTTTGTATGCTGGTTTGTTGGCTATTGAAGCAGTTCAAAGAGCTCTCAATGTCACTAACATGAAGGGTAAGATTATTGTTCACAGTGTTGTTGAAGAAGAAAGTGGTGGTGCTGGTACTGTCAGTGCTGTTTTGAGAGGATATGGTCATGCTGATGCTGGTATTTTCCCAGAACCTTCTAATTTCTTAATTTTCCCACAACAACAAGGTTCTTTGTGGTTCAGAATTACTGTCCATGGTAAGAGTGCTCATGGTGGTACTAGATATGATGGTATTAGTGCTATTGAAAAGTCTCAAATTGTCTTGAATGCTATCAAGAAATTGGAATTTGAAAGAACTCATCTCATTAGAAATGTTCTCAAGCAAAAACTCTTTGAAAATATTACCATTCCAGTTCCAATCAATGTTGGTGTTATTAAGGGTGGTGAATGGCCAAGTAGTGTTCCAGATTTTACTGTCATTGAAGGTCGTTTTGGTATTATTCCAAATTATGAAACTGTTGAAGATGCCAAGAAGGTTTTGAATGATTTGGTTTTCAAGATTATTGTAGAAGAAGATCCAGAACATTTCAATGCTTACCCATCTAAATTGGAATTTATTGGTGCCAGTTGGGTTCCAGGTTATGTCCCATTAGAACATGAATTTGTTAGTCAGCTTACTAAATCCTTCAGTCAAGTCACTGGACAAGATCCAATTATTGCCTCAAGTCCTTGGGCTACTGATGCTGGTTACGTTAATGCTTTGGGTAATACACCTAGTGTTGTGTTTGGGCCTGGTGTCACTCATATGGCTCACCAAACTAATGAATATATTCCAATTGAAAATATTTACAAGGCTGCTGAAGTTATTGCTAATACCATTGTTGATTGGTGTGGTGTTTAATTTATTTAAATTTTTATTAAATTATTATTTATTAATACATATTAATTGATTTTCTTATTATTTAATAATTATTTAAAAATTGGAAAATACTCTAAAAATAAATTCCATCAAATAAAAAATATTTAAATTTCCATCTTCCTTTGGAACCAACAAATGACTGATCATATCAAAGTTAGAACAGTTTTGGATGGTATTGTCAAGGTACCAAAATCCACTACTCTACAAACCATCACCGATCTCAAGAAGGGAATTTACAATTTACGAGGATGGGAAGCATCCACACAACATTTGTATCAGAATGGTACGGAGTTGAAGGATGATCAAACTCTTTCCGATTCACTTCTTTCCAAAGGCTTTGTATTATTAATTCCAATTAATCATCAACAGAGAAGATATAAGAGTAAGATAGAGATTGAATCGGAGGCTCAACAATCAACAGCTAGTAGTGGTTCTAATTTATTGCCAACAACTCCAACATCATCAGGATCAACCGGATCAGTCTCTGATCAATTGGCACAAATTATGCATGAATTTACATCAACTCATCCTTCAGGAAATACCACTACAACCACTGCAACAAGACCACCAACACAACCTGTACAAAATACTACACAACAACCAAGAACAACTGCACCACCAACGACAACTCAACCACCAAGACCAACCCAACCAAGTATTAGTGATATTCAAAGACAATTATTAATTGATAATTTCCCTGTAGATGATGGTTTGGTAGGCATGGTTATGGAGTTGGGTTTTTCAAAGAGAATTGCAAAGAAGGCTCTCATTCTTCATAATCTCGACCCAGAAGCTGCAGTGGAATGGATATTTTCAAACGTTGATAATCCATACATATTGGAAAGTGAATTTAGTGTAGAAGAACTCATGCAATTAGCTCAAAAATACCAAAATGCAATGAGAGACGAATAGAAGAGGAAACAATTACTGAGCAAATTATCTCTGTATTATTATCTCTTTTCAACAAAATGCAAAATGCATTACTGAATACAATTTTCTCCAATTAGGACTTGTTTTATTTCAATAACAA